TAAGCCTTCCTACTCCCTATGTCTAGTGTTAAGTAAGCACCCTAGGAAGGACATTTGGGAAGAGTCTATAACCATGGCAGCAAAAGGGATTAAACAAGCAGCATACTAAGTCATATTTGGAGTGATTAAGCAAAAGAAAATTGCAGCATGTGGCTGCTCTAAAACCCTTACGCAGCGAGCCTACAAGCTAGAGTAGTAGGACTCTTCAACCCTATAAATAGAGGCCGAAGAAGTAGTGATTAACTCACATCAAAAGCAAAACAATATTTCATATATTGATTGATAGGCCAATAAAGTACGTGAGTTGTGAGGTACGGTGCTGGAGAAAGGAAATTGGAGGAGAAGAAGTTAGGAACAACAACCATATAAGAAAGTTTCTTGCCGAATAGAGGTAACTAAGAAAACCTTGCTCTAGTTTAGCCATCAATTTATTAGATAATGATATTTATCATAGTATTAATGCATTTTCGGATAATAGATTCATTTTAGTACGGTTAAGCTTAAGTTAGATTTATTTGAGTGAAATTCGAGTAGAAACTTTTGAAACCCGCGACCGTCTTTCTGTCAGCAGAACTACACGTGTCTGCTAAAATTAATGTAACCCTTTCTAGAAAACTCGGATTTAGCTGCCGTTTGTTGCGTTAGAATCTAGATTCTCAGGGCTTTCTAATGGTATATAATATGTACTCTGAATCTTTCTTTAGTGATGAAACGAAATCGTCGAAAACGTTCGGAAATACCATTCCCTCTTAACCATAGTATGAAAGCTAGCGTTTTAAGTTTTAAACGATAAAAATGTTTATTAAATTATTAAGTTGACATTTTTTCAGTCTTAGAAAATTATTTAGGTATTATAGAATAATTTTTAAACTTTATAAGACTTAATATTAGCTAAAAAGACGACTTAATATTAGGTAAAAGACTTTAAACCAATAGAAATTATGGCTTCTCGATTAAATGTATATGTCAAACTATAAAAGTAAACTATTTAAATATATATATAAGAATATATACTAAGATGATTACTAAATAAATGATTTGAATTATCAACAATATTTAAGTATTTATTTAGTGTTATTCGATACGTGTTGCAGGCAGCACTTCCGCGGAGGTGATAACTCCGAATAAATAGAACCTGTGAGTAATCCTCACTTTTTCTAAAATTATTTCAAAATTGAGAGTATGGATTTATTTTAAAAGACACTACACAAGAACACATTTTAAAAATAAAAGTATTTTTGAATGTTATTACTAAACCCTAAAGGTGATCTTATACGCCTTAGAGTGTATTTGTTGAGTGACTTGTCTGTTTTAATTGCTTGATAAACATGGAACTATGTGTGGCTATAAGCCATGTTTGCATTTATATGTGCATGCTTAAGGGCCCGAGGCGACTGGTTGAGCAAATGTGTCATGAGGCGGCATAGGGCTTGGTCATGACCGTTGCCAACAGTGGCTGTTCAGGATTCTCTTGAGATATCTGGTCGCGACATGGCGTGTTGGGTGGAAATTAAGTTAAATCGGTACCTAGTCAGAATGGTCACTCCTTCTGACAGCTTATCATGTTTTTTTTTTTTACCGCCTGAATGGAATTAACGGAATCGGCTAGGGTTAGGGTTTAACCACTCCTGCCATATCGGCTTTTGGATAAACTCTTCCTTTGGCCTTTGAATTTACTTTTAATAATTGCTTATGTGGAATAATATGCTCTTGTCTGTTATGTGTTCCTATCACTATATTTTAAAATGTTTGATTATTTCTGTTTCAAAGTACATATCTCTAATAGTGTGGACCTCAATGAGCTCGGTGAGGAGCTAGCTTCCAGGAGCAGAGTCACGAGGAGAGTAGAGCCAGATGAATTATCATATCTAGGAATGCTTGCTATAGAATTGTTACGCTAGTCTTTAATTTACATGTTTGTAATAACGGTAGGGTTATGATTGTGTTACCTACCTTGTTTCCGCAAATAAGGGACCTGTACTATTGTACCCATTGGCAGTTGCCAACATTTAATAAAATATCTCTTTACTTTATGTTACGACCTTTTTACTTTGATAGCTTTAGCAGTTAGCCGAAGTGGTAAAACCCCGACTCATCGATCTAGAATTATGTTGGTAAGCATTTAACAAAAACAAATAAAAAATAGGACCGATAAGTCGGGGTTGTTACATATAGTGTTTGCTTTTGACAAATTTAGATCCTATTTATTGGGGATAAAGGTCATAGTATATACTGATCATGCAGCCATCAAGTATCTGGTTATAAAGAAAGATTCAAAGCCAAAGTTGATTAGAGGTAAGGGGGAAGTTGGGAGAAACATGGGTCTCCTCTCTTTTGCATAAAACCCATCGGGTAAAAAGGAGACCAACATGGCTAAGCAAGAGATCTCCCCCAACCTCTATAAAATGCAGCAGCAGCATGAAGACGAAGGCATCAAAGTCCAGAATACAACTTAGAAGTAGACTGTAGTGTAGTTTAGTTTGGTAGGAAGAAAACATAGTATAACTCTGGGAGGTAGACTCAGGGGCGTCTCTTAGGGAAGTGAGAAGCTGACTCTGCGAAGTCAGCTGCACTTAACCACACTCCCTGACTTTACTCTTCCCCTTTTTTTCTCCTTTCTGTTGTAATCAGGATGAAGTCTCAACACCTGAACTTTGTGGTGTTTGATCTTCATTCCATGATGATATGCTTATATTTTACCTATTTATTATATCCCTAATTTGTGATTTTTGCAATATATTTTGAGTACAAATATGCTATTTATGTGATTTTGTCTTTAATTGTAGGAATTGTACTCAAATGAAGAATTGTTGAAGTTTTGAGCTAAAATCGAATTAAAAGCAACTCAATGGGAAAGAATTAAAGATTGGAGCAATTGATGGGGAAGAACTTAATGAGTTTAGAGAATTGGATGGCCAATGATGCAATTTTGGAATTTGATTTTAATTTTTGGAAAATTGGCCGAAGGTTACGTTGATGGTGCGGCTGATTTGGGATTGGAATTGGATAAGTATTTTAATCCCGATATTATTTGGAAAACAAGTTTTCTTGTTCTTCAAGAAGTAGGGTTTAGCCGTAAGCCTATAAAATGAGGATTAGGGATTTATTTTTACAACAGAACTTGACTGAAAACTGGCCGAAAACCTTACGGTTACAAAACACTTCGACCGCCATCATCACCTTCTTCCTCTTCTCCGCCTTCCTCTTCACCGACGGCAGCCACGCACCACCACCTTCCCCCTCATTCACCTTCACCGAACCTCCATCTCTGCCCACCTTGCTCACCCTCCCGCAACAGCCACCTCTGCCTCTGCACCGCCGAGACGGCACCACCGAAGCAGCCGAGCACCACCATCATCAACAACTTCATCATCCTCACACGCAGCAACCGTCGGGGAGTTTTGGGTTTTTTTTGGCGTCATTCGGGTTTCGAAGTTCTAATTATTTAATTTTTTTTTTATTATGTCTCTGAATATTATTGAATGAATTTTAATAATGTTTAGTGACTAAATTCTTTTAATCTAGGGCTTGGGTGTAGCCACCGAATTTATTTGGTTTATTTAGTTTATTATTATTTGATTTTTCCATTAATTAATATTTATTATTCTTGTTTTAATTTGTGTAAGTAATTGGCCACTATTTGCATGTCTGAAGATACTAATTGAAGTAGCGAGAGTGGAAGATTAGTGTTAGTTCGTAGGAATAATAAACTTAGGTTATAAGCTACGAGAGTAAGATTATAACCTTTGCAATATTTGATTCTTAATGGTCTTAATGTGCTTTTGTTAATCCCTATAGTCACGAGAGTAGTCATAGGGTTAATCTAAGTAAGAGAATTATAACACGAGAGTGAATAGTTCTTAATTAGGTGAATCATTGTGAGATTAATGGAAGTTAAAAGTCAGATATTTGTGAATTGAACTAAACTAAATATTCGGTAGGTGAACCCAATGTCCTAGGTTTTCTTTGTCTGATTATTTGAATTAATATTATTTGCCTTTATTTTATTTATTTATTTTAGTTTTAAATTTTATAAATCTGAGATCATCATTTATGTAGATAATAATAGGAGTAATTTATACCTGGTAATTAGTATTCCTTCTCTGTGGGATCGACCCTGCTTTCTACTTTACTACTAGTAATTGTATTAAGTAGATAATTATTATTTGACTAGTGTGACGACGGCTTGTCACATGAGTAGCTAAACATATTGCTAGGGTCTAATCCCTCTACTCTATATAATTATGTTTTGATTCATGCTCTCCGATAATGTTTGTATGCTTAGTTCTAGAGTTTAAATTATTCTTTTAGGTTGAACAGACCATTCAAACTAATTGTACATGCATGTGGGGGGAATTCCAGAAGGGTAAACTTCACTTAGAATGTCTAGAATTAACCGGTGACGAGGGAGTAACAGCCCAATGTTTCAAACGAGGCAATCATAAGGGCTTAAGATCTTAATGGCTTAGTAGTAATTTCGAGTCGACAACGGAAGTTAGTTTACTGGTTACTACTAGGACTGCTGTTTGGAACAATCGGAAGTGACCTTACAGTGTTTATCTGTCTGATTGAATACAATTTCATACCACATAGAGAGCTGAAAGAATCAATACATATGCATATAGAGGAGAGTGGAGGACGACCCTAGGCTGCCATCACCTTGTCAAGTCACTTACTCACTTGCCAATCTGCTGTTTTACTTTTGTTTTGTGTTTTGGTACTGGATCCCAATTTTCATTAAGTGTTTACCGTCTCTGTGGGATTAACCTTTCTTATCACTTGCTATAAGTTTTAAGTAGGTTTATTTTGGTGGTCTCGACACCCATAACGGATATAACAAAATCTTACTAAATTAATTCTCTAGAAAAATTAATAATCATTATTAAATAATATTTTTTTTTATCCCGACTAGGAGCCAATAATACAAAAGTAAACTCAACTACTGTTATTGTGGTATCTTCATACAATGAAAATACAATTAATTTTTGAATTAATGAGTACTAACGTAAAAACAGACTATACCACGCGAGGAACTTGAAAGACGTGTCCTTGGGTAGACATATTGACCGAAAAAACAAATTTTGAAACAAGTGCTGAAAAGCTTCAAGTAACAAACGTTTAATGATTCCTATAGTATTGGGGAAGTGATGAGATTCATAGATTGTAACTATAAGGTTTTGAGTTATAACCTCAAGATGAAACCTCAAACTGTGTACAAACAATCCTTACATTATAATCCTTACATTATAATAAAAAGCTTTTATTTGTAACATTAATTAAAAAGCTACTCTATCTCGAATGCTTAGTTGATTCTTCTTGTCTCACTTCTACTGGCAGCTGATGAAGAAATCATAGGGATGCTTTGTTCATGCCTGAACATATTGTCAGGATCCACCTTAGTTTTGATCCTCACTAATCTGTTGAAATTGTTCTTGAAATACTTTGATCCCCAAACACTTGCCTCAACGACACTTGTGTTCCCATCTTTGTTCATTCCCAGATCAAGATCCCTGTAGTTCACATAGGCTTGTCTTGGGAACATTGTAGCATAAGAAGCCATGTAATTGTACAGTTTCCTGATCCAATCATAGTGTTTTGCAGCAATTTCCGGATTTGCGTCTTGCCAAAGTGTTAGGTACTGGATCATGTAACTCACCCCTTTTCTGTGAGGGAAAGGGATTTCAGATTCTGATATTTTGCTCATCATTCCACCATATGGATTGAAGATCATCAATGGGGAATCCTCTTCCAGGAGCTTTTTCCATAACCCTTCAAGCCCGTCTTCAGGGATCGGGTCTTTGACGAAATCGGATTTCGCTTTGAAGTAGTTCTTGAACAATGACTTCCCCTGAAGCAGGACTTCAGGCGGGGTGTTGTTCGGGAATCCGGCAATGTAGAGAACCGACCGAATCCAGCTCATTTCGGTACAGTCTTTTCTTGTTAATCCCAATTCAGGGAAGCTTTCATTCATGATCTGAAGAAGCCTGGAAGAGCTGCCGAGGAAAACAGCATTGTAGGCGGTTTGAATGGTTTTTTCGCCTTTTTTCGCTCCATCAACATTCTGGATGATGACTCTGATGAACAGATCTTCATCAATCTTATCAGCAACTTGCTGCCATTTGTAGAGGATTTTGGTAGCACCTTCTTCAAGTGTTTTCGGAACAGTGAAAACTGTCACAGTTGCAGGAACCGGAACTAATTTAATCTTCCAGGCAAGAATAATCCCAAAACTTGCTCCTCCACCTCCCCTGATTGCCCAAAACAGATCCTCTCCCATGGATTGTCTGTCAAGAATTCGCCCGGTAGCATCGACGATTCGTGCATCCAACACATTGTCAGCTCCAAGACCGAATTTCCTCATCATGGTTCCATAGGCTCCTCCAGTAATGTGCCCACCAACACCTAAGCTCGGGCAGAGTCCTGCAGGGAAGCCATGAGTCTTGCTCTTCTGGGAAATCCTGTAATAGACTTCGCCAATCGTCGCGCCGGCCTGAGCCCATGTACTATTATCTTCTATATCCACACTGACTGCCCTGAGTTTGCTGAGATCAATTATGACAAAAGGACCACTCATATCAGAGATATAAGAGAGCCCTTCATAATCATGTCCTCCACTTCTGACTCTGACCTGAACGCCGACTTCCTTCGCGCATATAACGGCTGCCTGGACATGGGATTCCACCAGTGGTGTGAAAATCAGCTCGGGTTTGGCCACAGAAGGAACCAAACACCGAAGGTTTTGCGCGGTGGATTGTAGGACAGAGTCAAATGAAGCATTGTTGGGAGAGACAAATGCTGTGGAAAAGGGAACATAAAGATCCGAATTGAGATTAATGCAATTGAAGAATTTTTCTGCGGGAGTTGTTTCTGAATCAGAAACAACGAATGATGATAATGATAACAAGAGCAATATGGTGGATGACACAAACTTCACAAGTTTGGAAGGCTTCATTTTCGTTTTTTCTGTTGGTTACTTTGCTTTGGGATTGTAATTACATAGAAGGCCCTATTTATATTCAGAAGATTTAAGGTTTGTTGATGACAATGTAATGACCTAATGCAAATGTCAGAAGCAACATAGGAATGTCTTTGGAAAAGTTGATTCCTAACTATAATGATGAGAAAGAGAAAAAAATTGGTTTGATTTTGTTTTTCTAATCTGGTCGTACTTTGAGGCATCCACTTTCTAGATTGGAAATCCAAACTTGGAAGTTGCTGAAAGGTAACTCCTGATTTCTTGCCTTGACAAACATAGCTAATGTGGCATTTAGTAGCCATATCTTTAAGATAGTGCTTTAGTCTTTTTAAGAGGGATGGTGTTTAAAAGTAGATTGAGACACTGACTAAGACAACAATAATATGATTATTGTATCTGTAGATCCATTGAAAAGGCATTTTGTGAGTATGAAAGGAATTGGATTCGAAGAAAATGATATAGTAAGAGTGAATTATGCATGAATTACAAAGAGAATCGCGATTCGAAAAATGACATTGAAACATACTTCATCCAGTCTTTATTATAAAACATTTTGATTTCGTCTTAGGTTTAATTTAGGATGTCTTTTAATTGAAAAAAAACCTTAAAAATATATTTTCACATTCGTTGTGTTCTTCTAATTATTATGAAATGTTTCTAATTATTTTCACATTCGTTATATTCAATTATATTGACATTTTAAGTAAAACTTAGGACGAAATTAAAATATCTTATAATAAAGACCAGAGGGAATTACAAAAAACTGTTGGGCATCCAAAGTAACTCTTCTGATAAATAACGAAAATTGGAGATAGTAAATTCATTTAATAAAATGATTTCATGATCGGTGAACACCAAAACTTATTTGATGATAGCTAAGTGTCTTCGAAAGATATGGCGGTCCAAATCAAAAGAATACAAGGTTGCCATGCCTACCTCCATCATTGTGGGTACTAAAAGTAGGTACTTATTGGTATCCTCTAATCTCACACGCATAGAGTTTTAGCTTATCCTGTGATTAAGCTTTGGTGAATTTCACAATAGACATTAGCAATCAAGTTGCCTGCTACAAGGCAGGGCTAGCAGATTACGCAACTCATCGGTGATCAAATGATTGAATTAAAAATCATTCTAAATATCCACTGGTTTTAACTATAGTGTACCATTTAAAGTTTGATCTTTTTTTAAAAAAATAAAAGAGTAAACCGCATGATTTATGTTTTTAATGTATATATTTATGGATAATGATTTGTTAGAAAAATTTCACACAGAATTTTAATAGGGAATAAGTCATAATAATCCATACAAACCTTGACTTAAAGGATTTATGCATTTAAGGGTATAATTATGATTCACTCACATTATTTCTGTAAATTTGATTGTTATAAATTATTCATGTATGTATCATCACTCTTAATATTATGTTAAATACAATTTAATTATCTTTTCGGTATTTCGTAATACTGATAAAGGTTTTACTTTTGTATTGTTTGATAGAAAGTTTATATTTATTTCTTACACAATTTGGTAGTCAGGAAATTGATTGCAATAGTTCAAAGTTTAAAGCATATACTGTTTTCTCACCAAACAGAAGGCGGTATTATTTATGTTCACATATTGCTATCATTTCATCTTCAAGTCTTTCTTCCTCTTCCTTTTCTTTTTTTTTTTTTTTTGTCCTTGTTCACATATTGCAATCATTCCTAACTCTTAATACCATACGTAAACCCTAAATAAACAAATCGTAGGAATTAAGGAGCTTTGAACCCAGATCCTTTGATAAATGATTTATTAGTTTTTCTTAAAGCCTCGATGAGCAAACATCACTTTCCCTAATTTTCTCCGTATGTGAAAGTTGAAATTGCGAAGATAAACCGAACGCTTTTAATCTTGTGTACAAATTATACCTCAAAAAATTTGGATTTGTAGTTCCATGATGCTTCAAAATTAAATGTAAAAAAGGTTAATTTGAAAGCTCCCTAAACATAATAATGATGTTTTCTAAAAGATAATGATCAGTTCAAAATAGAGTACTGTAATGAGTAGCGACAATTGACTACTTTTTCATTTATGATCGTTTAAGTTCTTCCTTTGACTGCATTATCATGAAACTAGAAATTTTTGAAGAAGTAAAAAAATGAAATAAGATGAATGCAGCACAAGTCGCTCCGCAAGTCATGGTTGTACATTGTTGAAGCATGATACAGTATATGTACCTAATTCTGTATATTATTTTTTGATTGATTTTGTGTAATTTTGAGGTCTATGGACTATGGTTTCAATGATTCTATGATAGGATTAATCTAGCCAAAGGCCAAAGCAATACAGTTGTTACTTCCTCCATAAATTCCATTTTTATAGTTGAATAAGATGAATTATTGAAATTGGACGGAGGAAGCACTATTCTCCTTTTCTTTTAACTATCTGGTCATTTTGTTGAAGGGAAAATTATTTTTTTGGTTCCTAACCTATTGAACAACCGTATTCGTTTGATGCAGTTTTTTCTTTTTATTTGTTCCTGCTGCAATATAATTTTACAATTTGCTGTGTTTTACACTTTTTTGTCCATTTTGGAGATCTCTATTTTGTACGTTCTTTTTTCACATATTGTTGCTTCTAAGTTATAAAGCCGTACACATTACGATTCCATAGCTTATATTTGAACACACCAAATTAATCAATCTTAATACTATTCCGAGTTCTTGCCTTTCCTTTTGCTTTGGTTTTCATAGAAGTTTTCTTTGGTGTAGTTTTTGTCAAATTTTGTACTCTGTTCTCATCATGCATGCTTGACAAGAAAGATAGGCTCCCGAGAACATGGCCTAGTGTAGTAGTAATATTCTAAGTCCACCTCTTAAAAGTTCATAATTTGAATCACGTTCAAGTGAGGCAAAGGTTTATGGATATATATATATATATATATATATATAAAAGAAATGCTACTCTGTCAATGTTTTTGTATTTTTTTTCTTTAAAAAAATGAATTAAGTTTGTGAAAAATCGAGTACTATTTCTACCGCATATTAATAAATCGTGTTTTAGATAGATATACATAATAAACTGGACTGGTAATATGTGAGGAAGGGAGAAATTGCATTATTTTGTTATCTTGTTCTGGTTCCCATTGTTGTTGAAGTACTGAATGATGAATAATACCTTTAGTAAACACGACGTTAGAAAGTTAATGCAGTATTGCAGTCTTTATAAATTTATTATAGACAAATTTATGCTGCTCCACACTAATTTTTTTTTAAAGCATATTATAAGGTGTTCACCATCTACCATAGTGACTATTTCTCCTGGTTCATAGTAGACATTTTGATGGGTGAGAGAATTGACCAAAGGATTAAAGGTTGCTCCATATTTATGGCAAAATTCGAATTCTCGACCTATGATATAGTTAAAAGTGGAGGAGTCTTTACCACTCCACCACAACCCCTTTGGTTGCTACACACTAATTTTGAATTCTGAAATTTTCAGTATATTCGGCTGGATCAGTCCATTTCTACCCATTTTCTAAAGCATCGATCGCCATTTCTCTCTCTTGAGTCTTACCGGACCCCATTGGTTAACTAACTTTGTCCAATCAAATTTTTTAATTTATCTTCACTTCTTCTACTTATAAACTCAACTTTGCTTATGTTTTCCCACGTTGACATGGTTTAGTTTAATTGAATATAGTGTGAACTTAATTTGAGGATTACACTATTATTAGTACATATAAACTATTATTGTTATGTGTGGAAGTAAAGAGCAAGATTATAACTTGTCCAATAACATTTACGACGTTGGACGATGATTTATTATGCAATCCCAGTCCTAAAAAAAATTGTCTACATTGAATTTTGATATTTATTTTAATTTTAGAATAAATTTAAAAACTCAATGTGAATTATTTTTTGTGAGATGTCTCTCAACTTTGTGACTGTGGTTCATAATCGCATCCCTTCGCATTCTTAGTCGGTCGATCTGCTCTTTATTTTTATGTCTGCTTTCTGCGTGACAATCGATTTGATAATCATTTCTCCTCGTCCAAGGAATTGGAGCACCTCAACTTTGTAGTGGCCCTAATTAGTTCCAGAAGGCAATCTCCATAAAACGGAGGCATCCTGATACTTATGGTATGTTTGTTTCGTTTTTTTAGTATGTGTTTTTAGGTGTTTTTTGTATTGAAAATGTAAAAAGTTATATTGGAAATATAAAAAAGGTATGGTGGGATGAGACAGTTATTATTAAAATAATCTGAAAAAAACCATTTAACAAACCAAACAAACAAAGCTTTAGTTTCTTAGTCCGATATTAAAGACGAAGAAAATAATTAAAGAAAAATAAAAATTTAAATTAAACAATCCTTTAGTAATTACCCCCTTTGTTCTACAAAAATAGTCTACATTGAGTTTTAAGTTTTGTACTATTTTTAGTACAAATTTAAAAATTCAATTAGGACTATTTTTTTGGGACGGAGATAGTATTAAATAATTTAATTAAAAAACAAGTTTCTTTGTCGACGGTTTTGACGAGTCATAAATTAACCCTAACCCTAATGAGTTTGGGCGATTATCTTGGAGGTTAAGTCACCGCCTAAACCTAATACGACTAAGTTTCAGGAAACAGGTAGCACTACCTCTATATAAAGAGATGGTGCCTCTCCCATAATACATATCTTCTACCTATCTTCTACACCTTCTATACACGATACACATCCTTCTCTCTCTACTCTCTTTATTCTCTTATTGACTTAAGCATCGGAGAATCTACCCTTGGGAGATACCCGAGACTCTGTCTTACAGGTTTTAGGCCGTCTGCCGCCGCCTAGATCACATCGTCGTCCGTCCTAAGGCACCGTGCAGATCCATGCTTCGTCAAGTGGCACGCCCGGTGGGACCGATTTGTTTAGTCCTTACAACCAAATAAATTTCTTAGCGAAGTACGGAATCTTTAGTATCTTTCGCAGCCACGGTGTTAATTCGTTGCTCCGATTTTGTAACAAGAAGATCACGCAAAAAATTATCTTTGCTTGGCCAAGAAGACGTCAACCGACAAGTAGCACAAAGAAGCTTTCGATTTCACAAATACTCGAGGACCTGCACTTGCTCCACAGCTGATCGAGAAGAACAATTAGCAAGGCGCAATCTCAAAAATTGAAGTTTCGAAAGACA